GAATGCCGAAGCCATGCTGAGCTGTTGTGGAAGCCTCGGCCACTATGTACCTGGCAGGCCATCTCATCTCCACCAAAGCATGGGCTTCCAGGGGGGTGTGCTGAGTCTAAAGCACGTGGACCCACTAGACTTCAGCTCATATGCATAGGAAAATATACAAATCAATCTCGAAAGCCAGATGCTCTGGGACGCCAACCACAGGGCTCCCCTTCAGAGGCCCCTGATGAGAACCAGCCCTCAGTTCTCATGTGTGCATCCATCTGAGCCCAAGCCAGGTCTAGGGTGAAGGCCAAATGTGCCTTTCCCCTTCTTCAAAGCCATGCGCCTGGGCCTCGGGAATGGCTGGAACAGCGAACAGAGAACACACACACACACACACACACACACACACACACACACACACACACACTGGCAGCCTGTGGCCCGGATGTGGACTGTAGGCATGTTTTCTTTGGCTTGTTCAGTGTTTTAAAAGTTGGAACATTTCATTTTTTTTTAAAACCTGGATTTCCAGCATCTCAGGAGAGCTCAGAGGCTGTGATAAAACCAGGCCCACATCCCAGCCTGCAATCTAGAGTCAAGGATGGGCACTGCGCCATGCTTACAAGGAGCTCTGATTCACAGGGCTCCCATCCTGTGACAGGCACCACTCCGGTCGCTGAGAATCGCACAGACACAGTCCCTGCAGAGCTGAGCCTCTGGGAGGATGAGCCACCCACTCATGGTGTGGAGGTTTCCACCATGAAGATGAGGTTGGCAACAACAAAGCTCTGTTCTGGCAGGTGGTAGGGAAACCTCTCCAGTCTGGCATTCAAGGTGACTCCTAAGAAGCGTGACAGAACTGACCACACAGAGGTGTGGTGACAGAACAGCCCAAATCAAAAGAAGAACTTGTGCAAAGGCTTGGGAGTATGAAAGGTCATAGAATGCTACAGAGGTCATGAGGGAAGGGGGCAGAGAAACAGGATTACAGCTGGCTTCTAAGTCTGGTTACAATGGGCAGGGTGCAGGATTTTACACAGTGGGGGTGTGTCTGTTTAACTTAAGTGAAGTCTTCCACATGCTGCTCAGTAGAGAAAGGAGGGAACCTGGTGGTCCAGATGAGAGATGACCAGAGAAGGCTGGGAGCCAAGAGGCCAAATTGGAGGTATGCTGTCACCAGCGGAGGGACCCTAGGGTCAGAGAGGAGGTGGATGGGCCACCTGGGGAGACATGATGTGTGCTTTGTCAGTTGGGTGACATTTAAGTATATTTATACAAAAGGGACAAGTTGATGAGCTTATGGGGAGTATTTGCCGGGTGCAGTCAGCAACCTTGATACAGTTTACCTGTCCAAAGAGCAAAGACTTCTTAGCATCCAGTTTGATAAAGAAATGTGTTAAAACACCTGCAAAGGTTTGCATCTTCTAAAAGATTTATCTATTTTTACCTTATGAATGTATTCGCATGCATGCATGTACGAGCACCAGAAAGGACTAGAACTCAGGTCCTTATGCTTGTATAGCAAGCATTTACCCCACCAAGCCATCTCTCCAACCCAAAGGTTGGTGTCTTTGCATGCATGGTTCTGACCTGAGGAATGAGTTGGATCTCAAGAGCCTTGACCTTCCCTTTTGAACCCTCCCTGTTGCAGACTACAGGAGAAAAGAAAAGGCCTCAGAATGTTGACTGGGGGGTGATTAGTGCATCCAAGAGCTTTGTCTTCAGCACTGTGTGTGCTGGGGACACTGCACAGAAGAGCTTGGTGAAGGACAGGGTCAGCAGGCTACCTTGCGCAGAGCTTAAACTCTTCATTCTGTTATGCTAAGCAAGGGCAGGATCTTCAAGCCACATGCCTTCCTGTATCTGCCAGGTTATCGATGGTGTTACAGCAGTGGACTGCCCTCCAGCTCTCCAGGGAAATCCATATATGGACTTTGGCACATGCAAGCCCCTCCCCATATAAACAAATACAATAAGATGGGGGGGGTTCCTCAGGACACTGAGTATGAATCTCTGTTGTTACAGTTTTTAGTTACTATAATGAAATACTTGAGGCTGTGTAACTTTAAAGAAAGAGGGTTATTTGACTCACAGCCCTGGTCCAAGGTCAAGGGCTCATACTCAGTGATGACCTTCTTAATGGTAGCGTCAGGAGGAAGCAAGGGGTTTCTTCACACAGCTTCACACACAAGTCACCCGTTTCCAAGACTGGAAAAGTGGGAAAGAATATTCATCCCAAGGCAAGACTGAAACTCTGCAGGGAAGACACTAAACCCCAACACACCAAGTCCAGCCTCTTAGCACGCCGGGAGGGGAGGGTCCCAAGCTTTGCAACAGTTTTTCTGGCCACAGGGCTCCTCTCCTGCAGCCTTGAAGGTTGCGTGGTGCCTGTAGCTCTACCTTTCTGAGAATGAGACAGCCCTGGCTCTGAGGAAGGAGAGGGAGAGGAGAGCTGAGAGGGAGAGCTAGAAGGCCTTACACAAAGGAGAACAAAACCGTGGGAGAGAAAAGCCCGTGGGCTGTGACTAGAGGAGGCCATTAGAATAGGCTGCAGTCACTCCAGGAAGTCTGAGGTAAACTAAACTGTGGCTTTTTATAAGCTACCCCAACAGACAGTGTGTGAGAAAGCCTGCACTGTACAAACAACAAAGAACCCTCAATTGTGTGTGTGTGTGTGGGGGGGTGAAAGTCCACATGACTTGTACACTTGAGGCTCCTCTGGCTTCCTCTCTTGAGAGAGCATTCTTTCTTAATAAGTTCTCTCACCTTGCTTGCCACTTTCCACATCCAATTCCTTCTTCCAAACCCAAGAACCTGAGAACGTCAGCAGGTGCCCACCAGACCCCTGTACCCAACCAATACCAACCTCACTATACCTCACCTCATTTGGGGGCTTTCCACGGGCACTCCAACCCATGGCCAACTTCTGCCAGGCTTCTCCAGGCTTCCCTTTCAAATCTCAGGAAGCTGCCATGCCACCGCTAGGACTGCCTTCTGTACACCTGAAGACTCAGCATGGCCTGGATGCCAAGGGTTAGCAGCCACAGAATCGACACCCAGGCCTGTTTGACTCCAGGCCTTTTTCCAGTTGTTCTGATCACAGAAACTGGCATCTGTCCACACTAATCTCTCCAGTAAGTGGTTTCACAGCCACACCCTACATTCTTGTTCTTTGCTTCCTCCTTGGCCAGATGGAGAGTTTTTCAAATCTTTCCCTTTGATCCTGAGTTTTACTATAAACCTGACTAAAAGCAGCCAATAATGGCCATGCAGCAGCAAGAATTTTTGTTGATTTGAAATTTCATTTACCCAGTATAGTGTTTTAAAAGAAAATGGCCCCCAAAGGGAGTAGCACTCTTAGGAGGCGTGGCCTTGTTGGAGGAAGTGTGTCACTGTAGAGGCAGGCTTTGAGGTCTCCTATGCTCAAGCTACACCCAATGTTACAGATCACTTCCTGTTGCCTGTAGATAAAGATGTAGAACTCTCAGCTCCTTTTCCAGTGTCATGTCTACCTGCACGCTAACATGTCCCATCATAGTGATAATAGACTAAACCTCTGAAACTCTAAACCACTCCAATGAAATGTTCTCCTTTATAAGAGTTGCCATGGTCATAGTGTCTCTTCACAGCAATTGAAACCCTAACTAAGACAGCTAATAAATGAGTCCATCATCCTTACATGTGGTGTTCCACAAGGTTTTAGGAAGTGGATACCACACAGCAGGGTCTTTTGCTACTTCATATAAGAATAGCCTCCTACCTATTTTCTAAGAGGCTCCCCATTTCTATCTAAGGCTGATATGTTAGTTTCTTCTTCACCCTCATCAGAATTCGCCATAACATTTGTCTTATAGCAAAACAAACCTTTCCCAACCCATTCCTCCAAACCCCTCTGACCTCTGCCTGTTATCCAGTTTCAAAGTCACTTCCATGTTCTCAGATATAGATATAGTAATAACCTCACATATTCCCAGAGCAAATTTTCTGTATTAGTTTTCTGGGTTTTTGTTTTACCATAATAAATTACCTGAGCTGAGTAACATTATAAAGAAAATAGGCTTATTTGGCTCATGGCTCTGGTCCAAGGTCAAGAGCCTGTGTCTCATGACAACCCTCCCAGCAAAGTCTCAGGCAGCACAGGGTACCACACAGTAAGAGACGGGAAAGTCTGGAGATGTCTGCTCTGGTCTCACCCTCTTCTTTCAAAGGATTCTGTCATGGGAGCTCCTCAGTGATAATCTTATCTGCCTCTAATCACCTCCAAAGTTCATGCCTCCAAATGCCTCAGTAGCATTAAGTTTCCATCATTTTATTATCTCCCACCAGGAATTAAATTTTGACACATGAACGTTGGAAGACATGCAAGCTACATCCAAACATCGCAAGGCCTTCAAGGCATGTGCTCCTAGGAACAACATAGCATAGCACATGTTTATATTTACATTATACATGTAATGTTATAGAAGGTATTATAAACCATCTTTTGACATTGTGATGTGGCATTGACATCTAGAAATGTGTTGGGCCTCTTTCATAGCCGTCTTAGGATGTGTGTGGCTGATGGGCAGCAAGGTGGACACTCCTGGTAACAAAGGAAATAAGCCTGCACCTGTTCAACATGGGAACTTCCCCGCTAAGTATTTCCAGTCTGTGCTTGGGTGAGCCCACGACAGCAGAACTCGTGCCTACGGAGAGCCTGCTCTTCCTTTCTTGTTTTCTTGTGGCCTCCTTGTGCACTGCTGGAAGGACACTCTATGACTGGGTGGATTATTGGTCACTGATGAGCTCCCAAAGCCTAGAACCGGGCCCTGCACACAGCAGGGGCTCACTGTTTACCTCCACAGAACGACTGAACCACCAACAGATTCAGGACTGTGGGGCAGAGAGGCCACTACGGGGAGAAGGAGCCTGTCCTTGACTTTCCCCCTCCTGCAGGCACCAGCCACACTTCACTGCCGACCCAGGACCACGATCCACACAGACAACAGCCTAATTATAGCCGAAAAAAAATTACCTACCGAAGGGGGGCAGCAGCTCTGCTTCAGAGGAACAGATGTCCCTCTGCTGTGTCCTGCGGCCGTAGGTGGCAGAGTAGATGTTGAGAAACTTGGACTCGTGGCAATACAACTTCAGTTCCTGGTCTTCACACACAGTCTTGTTTTTTAGTTCATCTGGAGAAGAAGCAGAAACCAGGGACAGATTAGCCTGGCTAGGAAGGAACGGCCCGGGAACCAGCGAAGTCGCAGCTGCTCAGCCCTTGTGGACCTGCACCCTGAGAAGGGCAGAGCAGGATGGCCCTGCCTGCCTGGTGTTTCAGGCCCTGTGGGACGGGGAGGGAGACCCCTTGCAGGGAGCAGGTGGGGAGCAACCAGAGGACAGAGCAAAGACTCCAGGAGTCACAGTAATGTGCAAATGGGAAAAAAGGCTTAAGGCAGGTCCTGGGAAGTTTCTCCTGCTTCATTTTAGAGCAAAGACTAATAGGAGGAAGCCCCCTGGTAAGCGCTGGCTCAAGACTCATGTACCACAAGCCCTTGCCACCAATTCCACACCACCTCCCCATCTCTCTGAATCTGGTGTACTTTGTTCCCAGAAGTACAGAGTGTGGCTGGGGTGCATGGAGTTCAGTTGGCAGTGTTTGCTTGCCTAGCGTACATAAATTCCTGCACTGAATCCCCAACACCACATACATTGGCCTCAGTGGCTCATGCCTGTAATCTCAGCATGGGGCGGTGCAGGCAGGAAGACAGGAAGCTCAAGATAACTCCCACATCCCCAGCTGCAGAGCAAGGTCCAAGCCACTTGAGGATATATGAGACCCTGTTTACAAAGGGGGTGGGTGGGTGGGCTGGGTGCAGTGACTCATTCTTGTAATCCCAGCACTTAGGAGGCTGAGGCAGGAAGATCTCTGTGCTACCACAATGGAATCTCTCTTTAAAATGTCATACAGAGTTGACACTTCCACGAACTGCCAAGGCAAAAAGTCTTATTTTTTTTAATAAAGCATATGGTAAAAACCATCAATTTTTAAATTTGTTTTATCGTGTGGGAATGAGTGTCACAATGCACTATGGACAGCTGAGTGTTGGGTATCTCCTTCTACCAGGTGAGTTATAGAAATTGAACCTGGGTCATCAGGCTTGGCAGCAAGTGTCTTTACCCACTGAGCCACCTTGCTGATTCAAAGTTTATGAGAGAGAGAGAGAGAGAGAGAGAGAGAGAGAGAGAGAGAGAGAGAGAGAGAGATCTGTGGTGGTATTTTACTTGTACTGAAATGTGATTTTAATTGTATGTTAATAAATAAAGTTGCCCAGGGGTCAGAGCTATTAGAGCCATAGCAAGTGCGTGGCGGCAGTGGCGCACACCTTTAATCTCAATACCATAGAGGACCTGGAGGGCTGTACATACAGGCAGTGACGAGGCAGTCACGTGTTTGGGTTTACAACCAATGAGAAGGCAGAACAGCTAGACTATATAAAGACAAACACACAGGAAGTAGGCTCTCTTTCGGAGAGCTCTCTTGGCTGAAGAGGATCGCTGAAGCAGGAAGGGTGAGGCTCTTAGCTCTGACCTCTTGGCTTTCTTCTCTGAAGTGGCTCTGTGTTTCTTATTTAATAAGACGGTTGGTTACATCTACAGAGATCTATTTCTGGAAACAGATAGCCCTGGCTGTCCTGGAACTCCCTTTGTGGACCAAGCTGGCCGAACTCACAGAGATCCGCCTGGCTCTGCCTCCCGAGTGCTGGGATTAAAGGTGTGCACCACTTTTAAAAAGTACTAATTTCTGATGGTCCAGACACAGAAGACTGTGCAGCATCCAATTCCATTTGTACTACCTCTCCCTTTTATCCAAGGTTCCTCTCTCCTGGATTTGAGTTATCTATGGTCAACCACAGTTTAAAAGCATTAAATAGAAAATCCCAAGAGACTGTATGCATATAGCTTTCATTAGAGCAATTGATATTGCTATTCTACTTTATTATTGCCTAACTTATAAACTAAGCTTCACCATGAACATAAGAAGAGACATAGCAGAGCTGGGTATGGCTCAGCAGTTAAGAACATGTACTGTTCTTGTGGAGGACCTGAGTTCTATTCCCAGCACCCACATCAGACAGCTCACAACTTCTCCAGGGGGATTTGACAACTCTGGCTTCCATGTACAATTGAATTCACATGAACATATACTCCCCCATACACACACATATGCATCATTTTTTAATTAAATCTTTTAAAAAAGAATTTTTTTTTTTTGGTTTGGAACATCCACTGGGATCTTGGGATATATACCACACACACAAACTACGCTTATGTATAGTTGCACATTATACATATTATGCATCAACAATGGGGATATGCTCTGAGAATATGTCCTCGAGTGAACATTGTGGGCTGCACATACAGGAGTCTAGATGATATAGTCTAGTATACACCTATGACACTTCTTTGGGTTGTTTGCTTGCTGTAGTAATATGGGTGGAACCCAGGGCCTCTTGAATGCTAGGTGCACCCTACAACTGAGCTATACTCCCAGCTCTACACACCTATACTATGTGGTACCCTCCGGCCCCTGGGCTGCAAGCCTGCACAGCATGCTGCTTTCCTGAAGACCAAGCTACTGTAACACACTGCCACGTATGTGTGTATTTAACACTGAGAAAGGCAGGTTGCATGCGGTACAAATGCTAGGTGACAGGTATTTCCAGTTGGGTTATAATCTCCTAAGGACCACCATCATGTACTTGGCTTGTCACTGAACAAAATGTCATTATGTCGCATGACCATACGTGAAATATCAAGGAAAGGCAAATGTTTACAGGTGAATGTAGACGAACTGTTGGCTGAGATTGTGAGTATGAGGAAACTCAGACAGAAGACAGGAATGTTCTGTGGCTGGACTGTGGCTGAGAGAACACGGTTCAGCAAACTTACTAATGGTTGTTGAACTGTTCACTTGAAATGGGTGGATTCCATGCTATATAAATGACACCTCAAGATACTTTAGAAATAATGATAATTGGTATTGAGGGCTTCCCCTCCACTCAGTCCTGTTTTAAGCACATTAAATGTGGTAATGAACTTCATGCACAGCAGCCTTTTGATGTGCTATCTTTTCAAAGCTTCCTAAAATCACAGGCAGCAAGAGTTAATGGCAAGCTGCTCTGGCTGGCCTGTGCTGGCCTGGGCTGGCCTGGGCTGGCCTGGGCTGGCCTGGGCTGGTTGTCAGGAGGGAGCCAGCTTCCCCAGGAAAGCTCTTGCTTTTCATGTCCCTCCTGAGCTCTTATTTTTCTTCTACTCTGCCTGATTTCCATATCCTGATACACCTCAAGACTGAGTTCTCTCAAATGTGGTCGAGACTCACTGATGAGTCTTGAAATCAGGTTAGTGAATTGTGACCAGCAAATTTAAAAAACTACAGAGCAGCTGGGAATGGCGGCACACGGCTGTGGTCCCAGCCCCCGGGCAGGAAGGTTGGCAGTTTGAGGCCAGTCTGAGCTACATAGAAATCCCAACTCTTCCTTCTCTCCAGGAAAAAAAGAAAAAGATGAAAAAAATGATTAGCAATCATCCAAAACATTAAAGAGCATTCCATGAGAATAAACATGGCTGTGATTTCAAAAGATCATCCTTCGGTTGGTTAGTGCGAGTGCACGCCATGTTGGGCCAGTAAGCACAGTGTTTTTCTTACTGTGGGTTGGAATCCCAGCGGTTTGGAAGCTCCCACCATAAGCCTTCCAGAATAGCACATGCACACCCACCAGAGCTAGGACAGCTGGATGACTTCCGACAGAACCAACAGTGCTTAAGCTCCAAACTTAAACCATGAGAGAAAACAATCCAGTCATGAGCCCCCCCTTCCCGTGACTTGGAAGTTCCTGTGATTCTTCACCAAAAGCTCAGAAGAAGCAAGAAGAAAAACCTTGGGTCACAGGCAGGAAGATGCTTCAGGTCACAAGATGCCCACCAGCTTTGGCGGAGAACCCTGGGGCTGGATTTTAATATAGTCAACCCCCTGCTCCCACTGCAGGTCTCTGTCTATGATTTTGGGTAATCCACAACCAATTACAGCTTAAAAACAGTAAATAGAAAATTCCCAAAGTAAATAATTCCTAAATTTTGAACTGTTCTCTATTCCGAGTAGTCTGTCATCCTCTTCAGCAACTGTTCTTTGTCTGCATAAGACATGAATCTTCCTATTCCCAGCATACCCACCCTGTATATGCTGCCTGCCCATTAGTTACCTGGCTAATTGTCTTAGTTATCAGATCCGCTGTGGAAATATCTATATTCAAATAACCCTGATCTAACTTCCCGACAGCCCCAAAGTACAGAGAATATTAATGGTGGCTATTTTATTATAACCATGGTTATAGCTTCTGTTTTATTATTGGTTATTGTAGATCTCTCTCACTGTGTCCAAATTAAACTTTTTCATGAGTGTGCATCTATATGAAAATCATAGTATATGTAGGGTTTGATATCTGTGGCTTCAGAGATCCACAGGCCTCTTGAACCATGTCCCCTCTGTATAAGGACAGATGATTATATCTATATCTACCTATCTATATCATATCTATCCATATCTATATACATATATCTATATATCTATATCTATGGGAACATTCCAGGCAAGTGTTCAACCTGATACCTTTGGGCCATATATAGCTAGTTATGAGTACAGTCAACACAAAATCACAGCTTGTTTTGTAGACGATAATGTCATGCAGCAGTCTTAAAGGTGCCTTTAAATGGGTGTGCCTTTGAGTGTGATCAATACTCAGTCGGAGCAGAAGCCAGGCCGTCAGTGCTCACAGGACCCTCATCTTCTCTGGTCATTTGACATACAGAAGAACCAGTGAAGCATGGCAAAAGGACCCGGTGTCATAGTAAATATTTAAAAGACCCTTGGCTGGCTCGCTGGAGTCTCAGCATAACATGTTGCAGTTAGATGCAAGGAAAAGCTTGTCTTTTTCTAAATAAAAGATCGCTGACTCTGACTGTGACTTTGGGGTGTTTGTGTCTTTTCGGTGAGTCTGCAGTTCTTCAGTAGATGTCAATCTCACCAACGCTGAGAGTTCTCCTGACTTCAAAGGCCCAGGGTGACAACCGCCATTGACGCATAAAATAAGATGTGGGAGACACACCAGCGAGCTTTGCGATCAGAACACCTACCTACGTGTTCAGAATGCCTGGGGAGTGGGTGGGGCAGAGTGCCTCCCAAGGGGTGGGAGGAGCCAGGACAACCAGACTTCTGGCAGACTTGAACTATTTTGTTAGTTTGATTTCTATAGTTTGAGATAATTACTATATATACCAGGCTACCCTTGAACTGAAGATCTTCCTGCTTCGACTTCCCCAGGGCTGAGATTCCAGGTCTGTGTCACCATGCCCAGCTTTAGAAACTTATAAAACAGTACTAGTTCTGTCTCTGTCTCTCCTTAAATCAGCATTTTAAAATATTACAAAGTGTTGTTTTGTTTACTTAATGTATATGAGTGTTTTCCTTGTATGTATGTATGTGCACCACATGTGTATGTGGAGGGCCCCAAACAGCTTGACCACACAACTGCCGTGACAGGCTTAGAGGCCCAGACACAGCTTCTGTGACAGGCTTACTGGCAGGCAACACCCGGATCCAGGTGAAGCCATGAGCTGACCCACTGTGGGTGGGTGTGGGGCCTGCATCTAAGGGGAAATACCTGACATTCCAAACATTCCCTATACCCCTAGACAAATGTCAGCCAATCAGGGTCCTGAACCCTGGAAATCCCCTCACCCCAACCTCTACTATGATTAAAAAAAAAAAAAAACAAAAACAAAAACCCACCCTGCTCTCACCGCTGAATTGGACAGAGAGATCAAACTCTGAGCTTGAAATAAAGGCTCTTTGCTTTTACATATGGGATTCGGTCTCCATGATGGTCTTTTGGTGGGGGGTCCCCGTGATCTGGGCATTAATAGTGTCCTTGATGCCCACAGAGGCCAGAGGATGCCCTGGTACTGTAGTTACAGACAGTTATGAGTCTCCATGTGGGTGCTGGGAATTGAACCCAGGTCCTGCGGAAGAGCAACCAGTGCTCTTAATTGCTGAGCGATTTCTCCAATCCCAGTTAATACAATTTTTTAAAAAACACACCATGGAATGAATATTAGCCATGTCTCTCGTAGTAACTAAAGCTCATTCTCCCAAGGCCAGCAAAACCCACTTAAGATGACAGGACACGCATGTGTAAGACCTCCAGACGCCTTGTCCCCACCACAGGTGACTCATCTTCTAGTGGAGAGAGCTGGTGATTGCCACATTGCTTCCTGCTGCGCTGCGTCGAGAACCTTGATTCCTTGTAAATGTGCTGGCACCTAAGAGCATATTTTTATATTTATTTATTCATTCATTCATTCATTCATTTTTTTGGTTCTAAAGGAGCAGGGACCTCCTAACCTAACAGCTGCTTTCTAAGAGGAGCAGAATTTGGTAGGAGCTGGGGTCGAGCTCAGAGCTCTGGGCAGCTGCCCCAACACATCTGCCCAGAGCAGCAGGAGCCTGGGAAGGCAGAGTTGGGGACTTCCTGTAAATCTCTACCAAGTAGGGAATCATGCTGGGCACCCCCTTTCTCCTAAACAGTGCACACAGAGAGTCCTTGACCTGCAGAGAGTTGTGTCCAAGTAAACCCACAGTGAGTTGAAAAGTCATCAAGTTGGAAATACAGATGTCACTTTTTTACATGAATTTTAAAAAAAAATAGATTGTAATACATTTAGCACACCTAAGCTACAAACACATCATAGCTTCTCCTTGCAACCAAATAACCAGTTGGGGGCTAGTGAGATGGATCAATTGTATTTGCTCTCTAGCCTGATGACCTGAGTTCGATCCCTGGTACCCATAGTTTGGAAGGAGGCGGTCGACTCCTGCAAATTGTCTTCACACGCGTGTCGTGGCGTGTCCCCTCCCCACTCACTTTAATGATGTTCCTAAAGGGCCAGCTTGGAGCTTCGACTGGCAGTCCTGCTAAGTGTTGTAAGAAAGGATCGCATTGCACGTGGTTAGCTCGGGGAAACATACAAATTCAAAATTCGCTGGGTTCAGTGCCCAGCACCGTACACAGATTTCAAAGTCGAGTCCTTCCCCCCAGTGCACGTCACTTGGTGCCAGGGACCAGTTCCCTTTGACATGTCAGCAGCGGCCCGACAGAGGCGGGAGGACAGCAGGCTGCCCTGACAGGAGCAGTTTGTTACTGGCTTTGTTCATGACCGCGGCCACAAGGCAATATTAAAATTCAGATAGACATCTTGCTTGCTTGGATTGTGTCCTAAGACTCTGTACTGACAATGCACCGTGCCATCGCCAGCACCCAGGCCCCTGCCAATAGCACCCCCACCTCAGCCCTTGATACATCACTGCTTGTCACTCAGTCATGCGCATCATTGGCCAGAATTACATTAGACTGTTTATTGGAATACTATCGAGCCATGACTCGGCTCAACTTCACAAACAACATGTCCGTGTCTTTCCAGCAGCCCGTGTGGTGTGGAAGGGACATTATCCTCACTTCACAACCGAGCAATGGAGCTTCTGGAGGTGTCCAAGTTCACACACAGGAGCCCATAGCAGGCTGCCCTGAGACCACATTCCCTGGAGGAGAGAAGAAGGGAAAGGGGACGTGCAGCACATTCGGCAAAAAGAGATGCTAGGAAGGCCTGTTGATAAACTAACTCACCAGAACCCAACCAGAAAACCAGTCTGTAGTACTTGCCAGTTTCCCTGTGCCAATGCTCTCGTGGTGTGGACTTTTCAGAACACAGAACTGGGAAGAGACACACAGACCACTCTGTATGCTGGCACTGGCACTGGGTACAGCTGTGAGCGATGCAAGTACCCCAGCAGGGTAGGGTAGGATAGGGCAGGGCAGGGCAGGGCAGGGCAGGGGGTGGGAAACAGAGGTGTCTCTGCAGGTGGGAGGGCTGCAGAAAAAAGAGGCAGAAAGCCATAGAGAACAAGCTCATTTCCCACCTTCCACAATGCCATGACTCTGGCTACTCAGGACCGGATCACACAGCAACTCCGAGCCTCATCTGTTCTTCACCCTTTCTCCCTGGGGCAACCACAGTGGGGCTTTACCTACCCTGCACCTCCCTGTGTAAACATTGCCCTGGTTTATCCCCTCCAAACTCATGCTGTACAGTCCCCATTGGGAAATATCGAGAGGGTGGAAACTTAACCAACCATAGTGTTGAGAGATGGGACCTTTAGGTGATTAGGATCAGAAAAGGTTAACCAGGTTAGTTAGGGGTGGGGGCACATCCATGTTCTCTGTCTCCAGGCCATGGTAATTATGCTCTCACCACCTCATTCACCAGGGGCTGACAGTTTGAACAACTGCTTTTGGAAGGAGTGTTTGCTTTCATCATGGAAGGTGGGAACTGCAACTAGAGAAAAAGAGGTCAAATCTAATGACCTCTAGGGGCACAGTCATTTTTCTCAGCTTCAGCTGCAGGAGGCCCATGAAGAACATAGAGATCTTGAAGTGATGCTTTTGATCTGTTGTTGGCAAAGGTAGGGGTTGTTGGGATATGGCGGGGGGATGGGAAGGGGCTCACAAAGAGATGTTCAGCTGCTCTTCAATGTTTAGGCTTGTTTGTGGCTATTTACGATTGTGTATGTGTGAGTATGTAAGACAGTGTGTGTGTGTGTGTTTGTGTGTGCATATACAAGTGTATGTATATATGTGACTGGGTATGTATGTATAATAGGGTATAAAGCTGTGGCAAGGTGTGTGTGATAAGGTGTAGGAGAGTCTCTTGAGCATGCTCTGAGTGTGTGGGTGTGTGCATGATCACTGATGTACAAGTGGGTGTGGATGTGAGTGTATTTGCAGACACAGTACCAAGGGGCAATTCTATTGTATTCCTGCTGTCTCTGGGAGATTGTTGGAGAAAAACCTGAGGTCTGGGGACCGCTTCCCCAACATGCAGTAGAGTAGCGGGTTCCCTGTGGCCCCACCTCCAGCACCAAACTACCAATGTCTTAGGACCGACAGAGAACAAAATGCAAAAAGCAGAACAGTTGAGTTGGGGTGGCAGAGAGGAAGTTGTGAAAACTATTATTCCTAACACAGGGTCACATACTATTGCTACAATTTCATTTCAAGGAGTTATTCAAGCAAGCCTGCCAGAAAGACAAACGTTGAGACTCCTAGCTGTTAATTTTTATACACGCGTGCGCGTGCGTGTGTGTGTGTGTGTGTGTGTGTGTATACATGGGTGTGCATGGAGAGTGTGAAACTAGAAAGGGGGGCATGGGGTGGGGGAGATTTTAAGGACGTGAAGAAAAATTAGTAATAGAATTCCTGTGACATGAAGGTGGAAAGGATGGGACAATGGCCACGGGGAGTGGAAAGGTGGAGGGGGCCAAGGGATGGAGAGGGAAGAAATGGAATAGGATCGACCAAATTATCCATGAAAATGCCATTACTTTGTATGCTGATTTAAAAGAAACTGAGAAGAGAATGTCTCCTGCGGCTGATGCCCCTCAGTGTGTTGCAGGCAGCAGCCCAGGTACCTGGGAATGAGAGCTGCTCCTTGAGGGATTACTGAGAGCTCACAGTGGGTCAACGACAAAGCCTGTGTGCATTAGGGATGGCAAAAGTCAACAGAGAAAGCACAGGAACCGGGTGGAGGGGATTGCTCCAGCACACCCTGGTCCACAAGATGGGTGGGGGGGCAGCTGGTTCAAAGACATTGGAGGTGGTGGCTCTGGTGGCACCCTTGCCACTGAGCCCAGGGGAAGTCAAGCCTCATAACACAACTGCCTTTGAAAAGCAGAATCTGTTCCTCACTTTGAGAGACACCACTTGTATTCCTTCCCCTCTGTGGATATTTTCAGCATCATAACAATCGAGTTTTACACACAGAGAAAGATTTTTACATTCGCAGATTTGGACACATGAGCACACACATGTGTCTTTCTTTCTGACATTCCTATTAAGGGATTTGAGGCTGGATGAACACCATTGGCAGAGGACTTTAGTCAGGAGTGTCCATGAAACAAGGGGCCAATCCCAAGCACACTGTCCCCCCTCAGAGGTTACTTACTAGGTTGGCATTTAAAGGAGACCAGGAGGTATTTACTGCTTCCTGGACAAAGGTCAGGTCCGAAGACGCGGCTATTGACCAGGAGGTGGCAGGCCCGCTGGTTCTGGCATTCATCCAGCACCTTCTGGAAGGAGGGGTAGAAAAGCATAGGCTTGTAAACGACACACAGTGTCTGCTGGGACCCAAACCTGGGTTGTTCTGGGCTCTGAGGGCACAAGGCTCCCCTGTCTGGCCTGAGCTGTGTCTACGATGGAAGCACACGTGGGTGGTGGGCAGCCCCCTACAACTTTTAGAAGAAAGAACCTAGTCCAGAGAGCCAGGGCCACAGGAGAGCTGGCCTCAACCAGCCCCAGCGGGCACTCTGGCTAATCTTAAAAAGTTCAGTCCCTCAGAGGATCTAGAGCACGTGAGTGATATCGAGTCACCTCATTGTTCAGCTGGAGGGCACTTCCAGCTTTAAAATTGAGAGAGCCATGATGGCCAAGAATCACGGCCACATCTCCTTACCTTTAGGACCCACACAGGCCCCACACAGGCCCCAGGGACTTGGGAAAGACTTCAAACACCCAAACTTTTTCTACCAAATAAAATATTTAAAGCTGATGCCCTCCCTAGACAAACTCAAGGGCATAGGCCTATGACTTTGCTACTGAGTGATTTCTTTAATGGAATACTTCTCTCTGTGTCTGTTTGCCTCTCTCTCTCTCTCTCTCTCTCTCTCTCTCTCTCTCTCTCTCTGTCAGCTTGTGGAACACCCCATAGGGATCCAGACTTCTTACTGCTCCTCTGGGCTGTGGCTCCCAGAGAAAGCTCTACACAGAATGAATTCAGGTCCTGGCCTTGATTCTGATGAAAGAGACACCAAGTTCAGAAAAGGAAAAGTTCCCGAGAATCTACTCATACTTTAGGACTGACTGCCTTGCAGATTTTTGAGCTTTTTTCTGAGTTACCAAGTTCTTCTTTTTTTTTTTTTTTTTTTTTTTTGGTTTTTTTTCGAGACAGGGTTTCTCTGTGTAGCTTTGCGCCTTTCCTGGAACTCGCTTTGGAGACCAGGCTGGCCTCGAACTCACAGAGATCCGCCTGGCTCTGCCTCCCGAGTGCTGGGATTAAAGGCGTGCTCCACCACCGCCCGGCTCCAAGTTCTTCTAACAGCTCGAGGATCATGTATTTCCATGAAGGATACTGGTCCTGCCATGTCACCCACCCTGCCACCTCAGGGCCCGAGGAGATGTGGATCTCTCAATCAGAAAGATTTCCCAGGGGAACCCTTTAGGCCCCTGGGAAGCACAGCTCTCAGATGATGGCACACGCTGGTATGGCTAATGGTCTTGGTAAATCACACAGCCTTCAGATGTTCCTGTAAGGCTCCTCCACTGTGACCTCAGGGCAGGCTCAAACCCTGTTACCAACTGCAAAATGCAGAGAGACACCATGGTAGTTACCCTGGCAGATGTTAACCTGTTCCTACCTTAAACACCACTGCCCCTTGGGACACAGACTGACCCAGCTGCCAATGTGGTGTGAAGTCCCAGCGGAAGGGAACTCCTGTTTGCGGAGTGAAAGGGTCACGCATAGCAATGTTTCTGGCAAGCTAACCCTCTGAGTAGCATCAGAACTGCGTTCATGGATGTTGACATGTCAGCCTAAATGGAACTTCCTCTTCCCTCAGGGCACCAGGCTCGGCAAGTAGGCCTCAGTGCCAGCAGTTCATACTTTCATCAAGTAGATACTCCGTCCTCTGGGTACTAGCCAGCACTCTTTCTATGCAGCTTGGAGAGCAACGGAGAGTCTGGGCACCTGGGTTGGGTGAGGAGAGAGTCAGGTGGCCAGCAGGAGTATGGCTCTTAGAGGGGAGGCTCCCAAGGGAGAAACTGAGGCAGGGTAGGGGCACTCAAAGACACTATACTTGACTTCCAAAGAAACGTGTTATCATCACTCATCACAGTGTGGAAACCATGTGAGGGGATTCAGCCAGATACATTCTTTTGTGCTGTTTGCTAATTACATAACTATCCACATGCTACAGTTTTTGGACTAAAAGCAAAGTAGTATGAAGAATAGAAAAATCCTTGCTTCATCTAATATTTTTGCTTCTCTGTGGGTATTTAAAAAAAAACATACAGAAGTCTCCTTAGACCTTCTGATGAATTTACCTTCCTACATATTCTATGCTGACTATAATCAAGCTGACCTCTAACTTGCCACTTGCTGTAAAGAACTTAAGAGGCATTACAAATCATCATCATAATAAGGCCCAGGCCAGGGAGCTGAGATGACAGATTATGAACTGCTTGGATAAAGTAAACCATAGTGGCACGGGCCTGTAACCCCAGCTACTGCATACAGACAGCAGGATGGAAGGTTCACGGCTACCTGGGCTACAGAGCAAGTTCAAAGCTAGCCTGGGAAACTTAGCAAGACAGTCTCAAAGACGAAAAGTGAAAAAGGGCTGAGGCTCTAGCTTGCCTAGTGGTATAGTGATTGCTCAGCATGCAGGAGGTCCTAGGTTCGGTCAATCCCCAGTAAGGGGAAAAGTTGCATGTGTAACTGACAACCAGTGAACGATTCCACCTCTGTATGTACCAGTTTTCCCCAAGTGTGCTCAAGGAGGAAGAGAAGAAGGAAGAGGGGGAGGAGAGGAGGAAGGAAAGAGAAGAGGAGAGAAAGAGGAGGGAAGGAGGAGGAGAAGAAGAAGTTGTACTTTCCAGAAGAAAAAAAAATTCAACCAAGACCACTCAAAATAGCTCTACATGAGAATGACATGGTTGTCTACAGGTAGGGAAGCAAGCCATGAGGAACAAAAGACGGCTATTGCTCTGTCCCTTGGGCCATTCTCTAAGAAGTTCATCATGACCGCCAATGTGGGCATCAGAGTCACCGGGGTTCCCACTGGGACATTTATCTGTGATGTGGGCCTGGAGGTTGAAATCCAACATGGCTGCTTTGCTTCACTCCAGTAAAGAGTGTGCCTGTGACTAACTTCATCCTGAAAGAATGCTAAGGGAACACTTCATCACATAGGGATTCCATTTGTACTGTACGGCAAAGACCTTTGAGAAGCTACTAATAGCTCACCTATAAAAAATTAGTGATTGGGGTTTTCATGAATTTTTGCTTTGAGTGAATCATAGAATCATACATATATGAACATAGAAAGTGGGGGAGAGAGAGAGGAGAGAGGAAAAAAACATTTCATGCTTTTAGCACATCCACGAAACGCAATACCTGCAAAGTGGTGGATGCCACGCAGGTCAGGTTGTCTTCCCTCTGGGAGGCGGGCTCCTGGGAACCACACATTTGGTAATCTTGCCCATAAAATGCCGATTGGACACTTATTGTAGAATGCCGTGGGCACTGTAGGTTCAAATATTCCCCGTCACAGGCATAGGTGGTGTGGTTTTGCAGGAGTTTGGTTAAATAACCTGAAAAACATTCAGCTGGGTTACAGGGGCCCCAGGAAGCTCCCCTCCCCATTCCTGCATAGATTTCATAGCAAGGAAGTGCTAGTTTCTGTGAGGCAGGAGCAGCTAGGTTAAGAAGGCGTGGGGTGCAGCTTCTACAGCCGATCTGAGGCAGGTAACCAATGAGGTCACGGGGCAGGGGGGGGGGGGAGATGCTGGCTTTCTTGTGTGGACCAGGTACCTTGGTCTGTGATGGCCTGGTGCGAGGTTTGGAGGGCTCCATCCCTTCAGGCAGCGCACTAAGGGATTGGCCATGAGCCCAGGGAATCTGGAAGAGCTTCTATACAGCAGGAAACTATGCTGAGTGGGTGTCCCTGGGCATGTGGACACCCGTTCCGAGGGAGAATAGACTTTTCTGATCTCCAGGCCTTCCTGGAGTGAGGGGTGCCATTCAACTTCAGGAAACCACTCCTGGGCCTGCCTCACCCCAGAGAGGAAAGCTGGGGAGGGCTGCCTGCGTGGGTTAAGGCTTGCCAGGAAGAAGTTGGGGGAGGGGGATCTTCGTTGTGGATTGAACAGGGCATCTCCAGATTCTATCGTGCCTCAGAGTGTTACTTCATTTGAAAACAGGAGTGCAGGAATAATTAGTTGAAAGGAAGGCATACTGAACTCAGAGACCCCTTAATGCCATGTGATTAGTGTCCCCATCAGGAAAAAGAAAGACAGAGGACATTGATGAGAAGATTGGACTGACAGGAAAGCCTGAGAAGATTGGACTGACAGGAAAGCCAAGGATGGCAGGCCACCAGCAGAAACTGAGGGGTGCAGGGGGGCCCTTAGAGGGTGTGTGGCTCCGCTGATCCTTGATTCCAGAGCTTTGGGACTACAGGAGTAGGGATCCTGACGTGCACAGCCACCCATTTTGGAAGTTGTTCCAGCAGCCACAGGAACAAGAAGAGGCTCCGCATCCCAGTCTCCCCGGTGACTTCTCACGCAGTTGGAGGAGCCAGGCTGGGCCTGGGCTCTGAGAAGCTCTGAGGACCCATAGCCTGGCATGTCTGGAGCATGGGCCGGTTCTCAGAAATGAGGAAGTGAGTTCTGGCCAGAACGTGGATCTCTCTTCCTCCTTCTCACACCTCATAAGGTCAACGGCAAGGCTACCTGGAGCAGAGCCAGGGACTTTCTGCCGAGGTGTGTGTGGGATGCGCTGGGCAGACTCTGACAGGGAGGCATTGGGGAGGAAGGGCAGTTCCAGAAGTGTCTGATCCCCACACAGACGACCCACGCCTATGTGAGTCCTGCTCTGGTTTGAAAATCTCTCAGGAGTGTAATTCCTGACTAAGGTGCCTGGGCTTCCTGGAAGCTCACAGGCAAAGAGGTGAGGCAGTTTGGCCTAGAGTCACCCATTCCTACCTGAGTGTTCCGGGGAAGGCTGCAAATGCCCACTTACCCTAGCTAGCCCCTCTCTCTCTCTCTCTCCTCTTCCTTCTCCTCTTCTTCTCTCTCTCCTCCTCCCCTCTTTCTCTCTCCTCTTCTTTCTCCTCTGTCTCTCCTCCTCTCTCTTTCCTTCTCCTCTCTCTCCCCCACTCTCTCCCCTCTTCCTCTCTCCTCCTGTTCCCTCTCCTCCTCCTCCTCCTCCTCCTCCTCCTCCTCCTCCTCCTCCTCCTTTCTTCCTCTCTTTCCCTCCTCCCCCTTCCTCTCTCTTCTCTCCCTCTCCTCTCTCCCCTCCCCCTCTTCCTCCCCCCACTTTGGTAGTCTACCTTGCTCAGAGAAGCAAAGTCTAACATAAACAGCAAAAGGGAATCACGCACAGTATAAATCTGGTTGTTGCTCATCTACCTCCAGGCCTCAACTTCATAGGCTCCTTGCATGGCATGCTGGGAGGCAGCCTCTGACAAGTACCAGTAGTTCAGGATTTCTTTATGGCATCTCAACACTCTGTGGGGCACATTCTGCTTGCAGGAAATCAGGGTGGATACTTTGGAAGGGCCAGCGTCTATCCTGAAATGTGCTAGGCAGGGACTCCACTGTCTAGATCCCTTTGGACATCTCCTTAAAACTTCCTGCCCATCAATCCCCAATTCCCAGAACCCTGCTGAGTGGACAGCTGATTGCAACTTCAAAGTAATTCTCAGAGGATGACATCGGCTTAGAGCTGGTTGTTTATTCGAAGGATGGTTTGCTGCTCTAGTGGATAAAGGACAGGACAGGGTTCTGGGGATGGTGGAGCCATGACACAGCAGAGCTCTGGGTCCTGGGTTCCTGAATGGAAGTGCTCTGTAACAGTCTTGATGGTATTTGAGAGCATCCGCAGGCATGTCTTCAAACCATGAGCCCGAATAAACACTTCCTCCTTGAGTTGCCCCTCCTCGGGTCATTGTCCACAGCAATGAGGAAAGTCACAGACTGTCACAGGAACATATGTGCATCTGTTCTCTGTGTGTGCATGTGTGTGTGCATGCATAAGTGTGAGTGCATGCACCTGTGCTCACACGTGCATGGAAGCCAGAAAACAACCTCTGATGTGTCTTCTGGGGTGCTGTCCACCTTTGTCACTGAGAAAAGGTCCCTCATTGGCCCAGAGCTTTCCAAGTAGGCTAGCCTAGTTAGAAGGCAGCCGATGTGCCTGTCCCCACCTCTCAGTTGCTGGAATTACAAGGGGCTCTGTCTACCATGTCTGCTCAGCATTTTTTCATAGGGGCTCTGAGAATCAAGCACACGCTTTACAGACTGTCTTAGTCAGGGTTTCTCTTGCTGTGAAGAGACACCATGACCACGTAAACTCTCACAAAGGAAAGCATTTAATTGGGTGGCTTATAGTTTCAGAGGTTTAGTTCATTATCATCATGGGACAACATGGTGTCATGCAGGCCAACGTGGTGCTGGAGAAGGAGCTGAGAGTCCTACATCTTGCCTTGAAGGCAACAGGAAGTGTTCTGTCTTGCTGGGAGACATATATGCTTGAACATATATGAGACCTCAAAGCCTGCCTCCACAGTGACACACTTCCTCCAACAAGGCCACACCTACTCCAGCAAAGTCACACCTCTTAATAGTGCCGCTCCTGTTGTGCTTATGGGGGCCAGTCATATTCACACTGGCTGAGGTATCCTTGCAGCCCCTCTGTGCTGTTTGGAGACACTAAGTTTGTGGCAATTTGGTTTCTACCAGTAACTGTTGGAATGACCTGGTACACATGAGGGGCACAGAGTTATAGATTTAAGAACTGTTTTTAAGGAAAGATTTTAAAACTAAGTATGTTTGGATTAAAGCCAGGAGAAGCCTATGCATATATGTATTTGTATATATCAATATATATATAGATATGTATATATCAATATGTATCAAATGAGTTCTAGATCATGTGCAAATTATATTTCTTTCTGTGAGTTGTGGTCAACACATGTGGAAGTGAATATGTACAAAAGATTGCTTGAAATGAGCGCTCATGGGTCCCAGTGTAAATACAGCAAAGGAGATGAGCAGGGGAGAGGAATACAATCCAGACACATTGAGATCATGCCAAGAAGGGTCATAAGCAATCACAACTGTGAGCCAGAAAGTCCTTTGAGGGCAGAGCAATGAAATGCCCCAGAGGGGATAAGGAGACGGCTCAGTGTGTAAAGACACTTGCCACCAAATCTGACAACCCGAGTTCAATTCCCGGGACCCACGAGGTAGAGGAGAAAACCAATCCCACAGCTTGTCCTCTGACCTCCACAACAAATGCCATAGCAAGAATGCACCCACACCAGTACACACACACACACACACACACACACACACACACACACACACACACACAAACACACTGAAGAAATGTAAGAAGAGTAGACAGAGAACTATCCCAGAACAGCCATAGAAGAGGAACTAAAGGTGGAGAAGCTTCTTACTATAAATGGGGATCCCCTCTGGATCAAAGGCACCTCAAAAGAAAGCAGAGTGGGGCAGCCTGCTGCCAAGGTGTCCCTGAGTGTATCCACTTCTCTGGAGTGGGGGGCGAGCCCACTCTCTCCAGTGTGCTGTGCACTCACCACCCAGCTTCCCCATCCCATGCTTTCTCAGCTAGTTCAAAGGTCAACATCTTTCAAGAGATATCTACTACTGCTGGCTTTGGCTACAAATTCTCTCTGGACGATATTGGATGGTCAAAGTCAACATGCTTTATGTCCTCATTGTCTCAGGCAGGAATTTTAGAATCTAACCCTGTTTACCATCTCAGGATAAAACTGAAGTGAACTGTTTGGTTTTGGTTCTTGAAACAATGCCTCATGTAGCCCAGGCTGGCCTCCACCTTGCTGTTTAGTTGAGGCTGATGTTGAATTCCTGATCCGAGTGCTAAGGTCACAGGGGGATGCCACCACACCCTGTTCATTTTTATTATTTTATGTTGTGACAGGGTCTCTTACACTGTATCCCAGCAGCCTGCCCCATCATTTACCATGTTGCCCAGGCTAGCCTCGAACTCATGGCAATCTTCCTGCCTCAGCTACCCAAATTTTGGGTTTACAGGTATGAGCCACAATGTCCAGCATAAGCAGAAGTGTATATTCTTCTTAAAAATCTGTCTTTAAAGTCCAGTGTTACCTGAGACACTGTGTTGGTTAAACTGATGGGTGCGGGCTAATTGTGCAATGGGTACAGGCCTTCCCGTCAGCTCAGGTGTCTGGGCACATCTTGTGATTACTGCCCAGATCTTCTTCCCTGGCAAACGGCCACACTAAATTATCAGAACTCCAGCAGCTTCCCCAGGCAGAATCTTCCTCAAAAGAGCACTTAAAAGGCTGGGCCTGGGGAGATCTCAGAGAAGACTAGATAAAGGGTTTTTATGTTCTCCGTTTATAAATAAAGATGAGGAGTTTGTGGAAGAACGGGTCCCTAAAGAGCAGTGGGAGCTGGGAGTTCCCTTCCATCCACGGGAAGATGCAGAGAAGGAGGCGAGAAGGCTCAGCAGGGAAAGATGCCTGCCCCCAGTGCCTAACGACCCGAGTTCCACGCCCAGAACCCACATGGTGAAGAGA